ATGTTTTTTCACAAGTCAATTAGTTTTATTTCATATATTTTTTAAAATCAATAGTTGTTTTTTTTAATAGGAAAAACGACGTGATATTGTCATATTACATCGTTCTGTTCATCGAACTCTTCAACTAGCATGTGAAGCTGGAAATTTATTTAGTTTTGTACCAGAAATATATTTAAATGATATTTATTTGAATACATTCACTGCTCTTAATGTTTATTATCCTCTAGAAGGTAATGAAAAGAAAAAAAATTCGAATAATACCTATTTTTTTCTCTCTATATATAATAGATTCAGCAATTAGTCGAGAAATTGCAACAGATTTTGTACAATTTATAGCCAATCATTTGCAAGATACTCGAATAGTTAATACAGGTAAATATTCATTCATCTAGGGTTTTTTTGTATTTTCCTATTTGATTTATTTTTAAAATAGATGTTCGTGATAATATAATTCAATCATTAAGTGCATTTTGTTTTTATTCGGGTTCATTACGAGCATTAGAAAATATGCGTGAATTTAATCGAACAGTATTAATTCGTGCTTTACTGACACCTTATACGAATCGTCCATGGGCAATGACTAATTTAATATTGGTACGATTTTGGAAAGGCTGTGGTTTTGGTTTTCGTTATTCACATGTTTATCCATCGAAATTTCTACAAAGTTTAAGAAAAGATCGAATTCAGGGTAATATTAAACTAAAAATAAATAAATAAATTTTTGTTTTCGATTTCTTTAAAGATCCAGCACCATCAATTAAATATCAACAGGAAATTGGACGATATTTACTAAGAAATATTGATGATGCTATTGTATTTCTTAATAGTTTATTAGGACAATTGAATTGGGCTTTTTCAGAATTTATGGGATTATTAAAAGAAGTAGAATATTTAAAACAAAGCAGAAAATAACATAAATCTAAAATAATTTTATTATATTTTAGTTAGTACCAACAAAAACGCGTTACATGCCAACTATTGAACATCGACAAATGAAAATATGTTCAACTTGTTTTGATGTAACTGTTAGTCTTTTACGAACTATTGAAATGATAATATGCGTTGCACCGAATATTATGCTGGATAAACATTTACCAAAATCAGAAATGTTACTTATACGTCTTCTTCAAGTATTAGATTATAATTTATATAAATTATTTATTGTTCGATGTTTGTTTTTAGTTACTTAGTCAAATAATTAATCGTTTAGTAACGAAAAATTATGTTTTAGAAGAAATTGAACGATTGAAGATGTCCGGTAAGAAAAATAATACAAAAAGAAAAGAAATTGTTATGATATTTAGACTTTCATATGTACAGTTGTGCGCAGAAAGCTTTTCTTTATAAAGAGTTAATATCGATAATGAAAATGACCAATTGATAATATTTTAAGATATGTTTCAGTATAAGATTCATTTTTTCATTGTTACTGTATTTGTTTTTTTGAGATTTTGTAGAATCGAATGAAGCCTACGACTTGTTTTTCTCGTCTCATATGACGTATTAATTCGATATAGTATTATTATTGTTATTTATTTAAGTTAATAATAATAATAAGTATTCGATTTAGTTTAGTATACATAACATATGTTTATTTATTTTGTTTTATTTAAGTTACATAATAGATTAGTAATATTGATTACAGATATAGTTCATTATACTGCTTCATTTTTATTGCAGAATTTCTATTTCAATATTTATATCTATTAACTCAGTATTAGGATCCTATTTTTTATTAGCAAAATATTGTGAATTAATAACAATAGAAAAATTCATTAACAACTAAATTCAATAAGCGAATAATTCAATTTTGAATGAAGACATCAGTTTTCGCTTCATTCATCAAATATACAGAAAACAGTTAAAAATAAGGCCAGACGAAAATTTCACACATGCTTGGTCACAGCTTAATGCAGACAGAGTTTATCTAGATAGATAGAAGTCGATCAGAAAAGGAAATTAACTCATAAGTCGAATTTAGGCATGCATCAGTCCTATAAAATCGATAACAAAGACGAGTAATTTTTGCTATATAAAACATTCAATCTTTACCAGTCCTCTAAGTCATGTAAACTCACTATCGATCAAACTATATAACGCTATTGTTAAACTTGAATAAAACAGACAGGAAGTAAAAAGGACTGGGGTGACTGGTAAAGACTGGATGTTTTACATAGCAAAATTTCTTAGTCATCCTTCGAGTGATGTTGAATTCAAAAATTTTCTTCTGATAAATTAATATTCTATGTTCATTTATAAAATAAATTTTGTTATTCTTATAGTATTAGACAATATTCATCCATATCCAATGTTCTCCGCAGTATGTGGCATATTGATACATTTAATTAATCGAACAAGCACAGAAACGTATGACATTTACTAAATACAATGAAAAAAAAATAAAAATATAATTTTGTTTTTAAATAGATCATTACGTGTATGTCGTGCTATTTACAGTGAAGCTGATCTTGATTTACCTAGTTTACATCGACTTATCTATGGTTCTGATACTGATACATCCAAATCAGACTCATCAAGTCATTTTACTCTTATATCACAACGAGAAATAAATCGATCAGAAGCTAATGAACTTGATGAATTCTATCATAAAGTAAATGATACATTTCAAAAATTAGCTAAAATAACGACAAAAACAGATGATAATGATGACTCAATGTGTATTATATGTTATTCACATCAAATACAAGTAGAATTTCGTCCATGTAAACATCAAACTTGTTTGTAAGTCATCTTATATTAATTGATAATAATTTTTTCTGTTTGGAAATTTTCTATATTTAGATCATGTATTAATACGCATTTCTTGACAAGTAATGAATGTTTTTTTTGTAAAGCACGTATTGAACAAGTTGTAGATTCAACAACTGGTCGTGTTATTGACAGTGTCAAACCAAATGAAAATTATACAAAAGACAAATAATAATTCAGTTTTTTTAAATTATTTGTGATCTTGTTTTTTTTTGCTTCTTTTGCTTTGAACAGTAGGATGAATATCTATTTATTTTCTTATGTCAGACTGAAGACATATATATACATATTTATATATATATAGGATGGTTTATTGGTAATTTTCATTTTATTTCTCTTGATCATTTACAATCAATCAGCATTCTTCTTCTTTTTTTTTCTTCTTTTTGTATTCGAGCATTTTATTACACATTTCGAGTATATACATATATACCTATTTATATATATATATATATAAGCACAGAGTTTGTTAATTTTAAACATATTAATACTTATTTTCCCTTTTTATCTCGGCTTCCGTCCTTTTCTTCTTTTCAATATATTTAAGAAAAAATCTAAAAAGTATGAAATGTAATATGTCTTGTTCTAGTTAAAAAAAACAAAAAAAAAGTTATTTCATTACGAACATTTGGATAAACAAAGAAAAATGAAAGCACTCATTCTTGTCGGCGGCTATGGAACACGTTTACGTCCTTTGACACTTACAAAACCAAAACCATTGGTAGAATTTTGTAATAAGCCAATGGTTCTCCATCAAATTGAAGCATTAGCTGAAGTATATATATTCTTTATTATTTATTAAGATAAAAAAAATATAAATTTTATTTTAATTAATTAGGTTGGTGTCACACATGTTATTTTAGCTGTTAGTTACTTATCTGATATGCTACAACGTGAAATGGAAGTTGAAGCTAAACGATTGGGTATTAAAATAACAATTTCGCAAGAAACTGAACCTTTAGGAACAGGTGCGAGTTTTTTTATCATAAGATTATTAATTTCTATATCATAGTTTCTTTTAGCTGGTCCATTGGCATTAGCACGTGATCACCTTCAAGTAGAAAATGAGCCATTTTTTGTGCTCAATTCAGATGTGATATGTGAATTCCCATTTAATGATATGATTAAGTTTCATAAAGAACATAATTGTGAAGGAACTATTGTGGTATGTCTATTAAATGATAGATCTATATATTGAATATTCTTCTATCCTCAAAAGGTTACAAAAGTTGATGAACCATCGAAATATGGTGTTGTTGTCTATGAACAAAATACTGGTAAAATTGATCGATTTGTTGAAAAACCACGTGAATATGTTTCGAATAAAATTAATGCTGGTCTTTACATATTCAATCCAGCAATACTCAATAGAATTGAAGTAAATTATTGAAAATTTTCTATTGCAATTCTTATCTAATGAATTTAGTTACGACCAACATCAATTGAAAAAGAAATTTTTCCTGCTATGGCTAGTGATAAACAATTATATGCATTTGAGCTTAAAGGTAAAATATTTAATGAAATTTAATGTATATATATATGATTATATTTCTACAGGTTTTTGGATGGATGTTGGTCAACCAAAAGATTATTTAACTGGAATGGGTTTATATCTTAACTATGCTCGATCTTCTATGCCAGATCGATTATCGCGCGATAATGGTACAGTAGGCAATGTTTTAGTGGTAAGATTATATTTATTAGTTCTTTGTTTTTTTAAATCAAGTAAATATAAAATTTCTTATTTTGTTTTCTATATAAAAGGATCCTACAGCTAAAATTGGTGAACGATGTCGTATAGGCCCAAATGTCGTTATCGGCCCACGAGTTATTATACAAGATGGAGTATGTTTAAAAAACTGTACAATACTTGCCGATTCACTGGTTAAAAGTCATTCATGGATTGCAAATTGTATTATTGGTTGGAGATGCAATATAGGTCAATGGGTAAATAATCTAGTATGATATAATTATTTGAATATAAACTTTTTTCTTTAGGTTCGTATGGAAAATACAAGTGTACTTGGACTTGATGTATCTGTGCAAGATGAATTATTTATCAATGGAGGTATTATATTACCGCATAAAGCTATTAGTGAAAGTGTTTCAGAACCGAAGATTTTGATTTAAAATTTAAAATAGACTATATTGATTTTATCATATGCGCAATGTTTTGTTTCTTTAAAAAATTATTAACTCTTGGTAATTGTGAATCTCTTTCTTCTTCTATCTTTTTATTTTTAACATAAAATATCAAACATGACACAAAAAATTATTTAAAGTTTTCATTGTTATTCTTATTTATAATGATAAAAAAAACAGTGACTAATAAACTTCACTTGGTGCGTTTTTGTCTTTTTTATTATATGTCATTCCAATCCATATGATTTTCTTTTTTTTTGTTATGTTTTTTTTTCTGCTCGTTAATTGGCTTCTTTTTTTTTAACCTTATATTTATCGTTAAGCAAGAAACTAAACAAATATATATCCACCTATAGTCTTTTTATTTCTATTTCGTTCTATTCATTAAATAAAAATTCGATGTTTTTTTCTTAAAAGACGTCATTCACATCCAGACGAATAGTACACCTTTCTTTTTGCAAAATAACAAGCACTAGGTTACTGCGAACCTTATAATCTATCTGTATATATATAGCTTCTTTTTTTTACATTTATAAGATGTCCGAAACATACGTACTGGAAACAAATAATAGTTGTCATAGGTGTCACTTATCATACCTGTAGCATATTGGTTGCCAGCTGAATCTAGATTGCAACGAAAAATGATTCAGACACAGCAACAAGTGCTTGCACGTGCAACTACATTTCTATCGATGATGAAAGTCTACTGTTTATTTTTCTTATATATTTCTATTCATACATTTTAAATCATGCATTAATGGTTCCTGCGGAATAATGATTGCATGCATTGAAAATAAATTCCATATCTAAATGTATTTTAGTTTTGAAATAAAAAGGAGCAAATCTCAATTGCCAGACAATAAACTATAAACGATCTAGCATATTCTTTTTTTTTCTTTCCAAGCAAAAAGATGTAATCTACGATAAAATTCACTATCCATTGATTACTTTTGGTTGGCTTACACGTATATTTATTTTATGTTTGATTCGATGGTGATGTAAGGAAAGAAGAGATAAAACATTCTTGTCGTTTTTACATACAGTATATGTGAAAATAACAATGTATATATATATATAATTGTATGTTGATTATTTCAGAACATAAACCCTCCACCCTTTGTATAGGGTTGGCAAATATATATTTAAATTTTCATCTATTTTACACTTATGAATCTACTTTCAATGGACGATGCTGATGTTGACCGGATACGTATGTTTGATTATATTTACTTTTGATAGATTGAAAAAAAACTATTTCTTCTTTTTCTTTTTTAAAGTTTTTATGACACCATCATTAACACCACATATCAGCGACTCAAATACATCGGATTATTTTGATTTAGAAGTAAGTTGTTTTGTTTATTTTATATTGATAAAATGTTTTTACTTATTGTAATAGTGTTCTTTTTCACAAAAAGAGTATCAACAACAAATGTCGCATTTAACAACAGAATTACAAAAAGTTGCCAATCTTTCTTGCCAATCAAGTAAATAGAATTATTATATCATTAGTTCAGTTGATGATTCAACAATTTTATCTCTTTGAAACACTTATCTTTCAGAAAATCTAGACAATAAAAACAAGATAATAGCTATAGACATGCATCTTGACTACCATTATTTGATCTTAATAAGTTATCAAATTTCTGAGAAAAAAAACCTAAAATGATTTGAACTTTTCAAAATATTTGTTTTTCTTTAGGTGAAAATGAATCAGATATACAAGATCAACAACCAACAGAAGCTACTGATGATAGTAAATATTTATTATTTTTATTTATAATCTAAACATTTAAATTTAATATTCAAACAATTTAGGTAATGATTCTTCCCATATACAAATAACTACAGTTAATCATACTATTGATGGTTAGTTTGTTTGTTTTGATATTAGAAAAGAAATTAAATTTTATTTTTTCTTATACGATAGATTCTCTTCATCTACAAGCATCAGAAGAACATGATACTCATACACTTTCAGTAGTACAAGAAACTGGTTTAATCGAAGAGAGTTTTTCCTCTGTAACGTCAGATACTGAAACAATACTAATGGACGAATGTCTAGAACGACCAGTGTTTAATTATAGTCGTAGTCTATGTGTAGCATATAAAGATGAAGACGATGGTATAATAAATATGCAATAAAACAATTCTAAAAGATAAATTAATATTTTTTTCATTTAATTAGACATATCAATCATCAAAGAAGCATTAACAGATAAAACACCCATATCATTAGAATTTACTGGAATAGAAAAAAAAGATAATAAAAATCTTGGACATATTATGATAAGCTATAATCATTCAACGAGAGCTGTATGTTCAAGAATTTCTAAACATTTGAAAGTAAAATACTTTTTTCTTAGTTCTAATATTTCGTTTATCATATATATATACATTAGGATCGTAATTATATCATTTGGATTGATGAAGATAATATATCTGGTAATATTTTTGGATCGATGGCATCAGCTGTTGAAAATTCTTTTGTTGTTTTAATGGCAATTAATGAACAATACTATGACAGTCGTTATTGTCGACTAGGTAAATATATTCATACTTTTATTTTTAAATATTTTTGTTTGTTTTTTGGTTATAGAAGCTGAATATTCTGTTGAACGAAATAAAGCATCAATACCTATGTTAATGCAAGCAGGTTATAAAGCACAAGGATGGCTTGGTATAATAAATGGTGCTAAACTTCATATTGATTTTTCTCAACTTCCATTTGATGAAGCATTTAATTTACTAGTACGAGAAATTGAAGCTGTTCGGAGTTCGTTAGGTGCTAATGAAAATGATCGAACCGGTAAATAATATAATAGTTTTGTTTTTAAAAAAAAAGAACATTTTCTTTAGTTGCAATTCCTACAAACAATCAGATAACTACAACAATGAGTAGTACATACTTTCATTATCATAATGTCCAGGAATGGTCTGCCGATGATGTTATTGAATGGTTAAATCGAGAAAAACTTCAAATGTAAAATTAATATTTACCTTTTCTATATAAATATGAATATTTTTTTT